TTTACAGATGCGTAAACACAGAAAATCGAACCTGATCCGAATTTTTTATGATGGACGAAAGTTTCGGAGGCAGTGTGTAAACGTGATTGACACAACGTGAGGTCGTATTTATTTTTTAACAAGTGAAAATTTCGGACTCAGTGTGCAAGGACCTTCATTCGATTTCATAAAATATGACAAGAACTTAGAACAAATGTCAGAACAAATTCATCTCGATAATGTCAGATAAATTTGATAGAGAGGTATGTAATGAATTAGGTTGAATAGCTGTCAGCTGTTAAATTTAAGAACACAATTAGATAATACCAATTTAGGTCAACCAATTACCAAGCAATGCTTAATTTTGTTCAGTCTGTGGTGTAAAAAGGTCACATTAGCAATTAAAGAAAAAACACTTAAGCAAAACATGGTCAGGTCAAAGTGTCTGAATAATTTAAATTTAAATTTTATCAATTTTACTGGTAGTCCACTGTATGAAGAATGTTTGGGTATAATATGTCACAGTTTACTTTATTTAGCTATCCTCACTTACATAAATGTATACTTCCATAAAGTGTCCTGCACCCTCTAGTAAAAAGATATCAAAAATTATATCTGATGTCTGTATAACTTTTGGTTTGACTGTACAGTGAATATAAATATAAACTAATGGATAAAATATTTTCAGCCAATATAATAAAAAATATATTAAAAACGGACAAGGAATATATGAGGGAATTTAAGTAAAATATATAAAGTAATTATATATAATGCATTTTTAAAAAAAAAAAGGCATTTTCTTTTCTTTTTTTTTGAATATTTTGAAATTTATTTAAAAATATATCTGAAAATATACTTTTGCCATAAGGATTCAGAAACTTGCTAGAAGTGTTTCTGTTCAACAACCTGCATGGAGTGCATTCAGGCCTAAATGCATTTTCTAATGCAATCTAAATGCATTTTCTAGAAGTTTGGGCTAAACTAAAAAGTGATAAAAGTTGATCACTTTTCTGATAAACGGCTCTAAAGCTTCAGAGTTTGTATAGCTAAAATCATTTGCATGCACAAACTTTTGTTTTGGGCTTTGCATTTTTCAAAATGTTTTGATAAATACACTAAAATGTAAAAACACTTTAAAAAAAAAATAAAAGACCCTTCAGGCTACTGGTTAACAAGTTTAGGGAAAAAGACTGCAACTCTTGGGCCTTGTTATGCATCTCTTTAACCTCAGCAAGAGCAGTGTATATGTGTGTATCTCGCTGTTGTCTGCATTGTTAATGCTCACTCATCCTCCAAACGTGCATAATTCATCCTGACACCTGCAAATTAGCCTAGACATGAATGCAAGTCAACAAAGAGAAATAGAGCTGCTGCTTTAACAAGCATTATAAATGGTCTCAGGCTGTAATTTGCATGAACGTTCTATACGCTATTTTAAAAAGTGTTCATTATTATTTTTTTCTTTACCTTATTTCATTGGGTGCTTCCTCCTCCTCATATTTCTTCTTCTCTTTCTTGCGGAAAACAAGCCAGACGATAAGGATGATGAGGAGAACGCCGAAGGACACGCCCACCACAGCGCCAGCCACCACACCCATCCCCCGGACATCTGCAAAAGAGCCGAAACATCACAAGTTATGGTGTTTGCTAAGGTAACTGTCACTATTTGCTAAGGTAAATTGTCACGATCTTGTTCTCTCATATGGGCTTGATGTGACTGATATTATGCTCTCAGATTTTATGATCTCTGACCATAAGCCTATATTATTCTCACTGTCTCTTCCAGATCTCTCTCATTTTTCTAATACACCTGTAAATCTTTCTCGTTTCTACTCTCCACAGTTTAGCACAAATTTCAACTTGTGCTTTGCTGAATGTTGCTCACAGTTGCACTTGGATCAACCATTATCTGACCTGGATGCTGATCAACATCTTAGCCTCGTAAATTCTGCCTGGCTTAAGGTAGCAAATGCAACTGTGTATGTGGTAAAATTGTTACTCTTCTGGAAAGCACTTTGGTCAGCCTGGTGGCTGTTGTATATGTGCTCTACAAATAAAATGAACTTGAACTTGAACTTGAACTATTATTACTGTGAAGTCAAATCACATTTATATTAGCGCTTCATACAACACAGAGTGTTTTAAAGCAGCTTCCCAGTAATAAACAAGAAAATAACAGCATTAACGTTGCAAAAATCTTCATTTATGAAACAAAAAAAAATTCACCTCTAAAGTAGCTGTACAGAAGATAATAGTGTAATTATTCAACTATATTTAGTTCAATAACTGTGTGAATGTTAGCTATGAAGAGAACTCAGTTCCGCTATAAAGCAGCTCTACAGAAGATAATATTGTTGTTATTCAGCTCAAGTTAGTTCAGTGTTGATTCGGTTTAGTTCAATACTGTCTTACATATCAAATATGAAAAAAAAAAAATGATTCAGCTATAAAACAGCTCTATAGAAGACAATGTTCATTATTTGACTTAAGGGTTAAAAAAAATTAAGAATGTCGGTTGTCTGGAACCAATTGTGTTAGAAGAAAAATAGGAAAAAATCATAAGACAACATAAATGGAATGACCCAAGCAATTTCTAGGGACCAAAATTCTATAGAAACTCAAGGGGGAACTCTTTTGACTTATGCCAGTAAGCAACTACTCAGAACCACTCAAATTTTCTTCAGGAAATGTATAAATTCTATTCTATTCTATTCTATTCACAAACCACAACCATACACACACACACAGAGAGAGAAAGAGAGAGAGAGAGAAAGAGCCTGGAAGTGTGTAAAACTGTTTAAAAACTCACACACCCAGTCTCCACTACTGTATTTAACACTCTCCATTCTTTGAAAAGACACATAAAACAAAGCTTCCATGATCAGAATAGCCTAACATACAGCGTGTAACAAGCAAGCAGCCCCCTCTGCATTGCAGATACCTGAAGGAGTGTATCTCACCATGAGAATACTCCAGCAAACAGCACAGCATTAATCAACCTACCACACTCACTATGTTCCTTCCTTTAATAATATGCCATTTTTTGCATGAATAAATTTCTCTTTCCGCCACATAATTAATTATTTCTTCTAATTCCATCATCTGATATTTAATTATGCAGCAGAGCTGTTTGAGAAAGGTTTGGAGGAAGGAATTAAATCAATGAACACTGTGATAAAGAAAAGGATGAATTCTTTATTTGGATGTTAAATAGTACTGAAAGACTGCACTGCATAGCAGAATGGGTCAGGATCTCACTGCCAGCTTCATAAAATATACGGTGGGTTGGCAATGTACTTGTGTTGACGCTAATTCAATTAAGTGTCAGAAGCAAGAAGAAAACAAAAACTAGGAGTAAGAATTTATGGTTCGCATAAAGCTTTTCATCTGAGTCTGTATCAAAGTGCTGAAGCAAACAGAAAAACACAATGGCTAAGTTCAAATTAAGTACAAAATAATATTCATATTATATTGTGTTATGCAGCATTGCATGTATGCAAATTTTCTGTATGCATGGGATACTCAGATTACCTAATGTCTCCCACAATGCAGAGCAATGCACTCTATTTGACCTACCATTTACAGCTTGACAAAAAAAGCAGTAGAAAATGTGTAGCATCTCCTTCTTGACTATTTTTTTTATCAATGTTTTTGACAAATTAGCTATAAAAAAATTCAATTTGCATATTTATTTCTAAGGTAATGGAAAACTGGATGCTGCGCAACGAGGTAATGCGTCAACAATGTAGCATACTGTGGTTTGAAGCATTTATCACTTCATACTGTGCACTATTTTTAGGTTTTCACAGTATGCTACGTTAGTATGCCATTCTGAATGCATCCATTCACACAGGTACTTACAGTGAACTTTGACCTCTAAAGTGCAGTTTTCTTCTCCGACATCATTGCTGGCGGTGCATTTATAAACCCCCGCGCTTTCCCTCGTCAGATTCTTCAATGTCACAATCTCAGGGTTCTTCAGATCTTTAGATAAAAAAACACGGAATTATTTCTTTCAAATAAAAAATAAATTATAAAATCTTACTGACCCCAAACTTTTGAACAGCAGTGTAGCTGTATATTAAGTAGCAGATAAGCTCTTGTTGTCTGTGATTGTGTCAGGTCAAGCGGCATTACCAAACTGTACATTTACAAGATAAATAAAAACCAAGCATTCAACAAAATGTTGCTTTTTATGGCTGGTTAGGACATGGACAAGATTTATTGCTTGTCAGTTCATCACAACGGGCCTGATTAGGACACGCTGTCACACTTCAAGCTTCAACTATTGAACCTACAATCTTTTGGTTAGTGTTGATTTTATCGAAACCTCATTTCTGACGTGAAACAACTACTGAAAGTGCGCAGTTGAATGAACAGAGCATGTTCTGCAAAATTCTCCATAAAGCCTGATGAAGGGTAGAGAGCACATTACATTACACATACGTCACATCTCCAAGCCGATTTCATAAGAGGGGCTAATTGAGGAGGTAGTGAAGCATGTGGGGTAAAAAGTGCTGATGGAATTGATGTAAATTTAATTTGAGAATGCTTGCGGTGTTAAATTGGCCCTGTAGTGTCTTCATCTATTTTCTGCTCCTCCAGAGAGATGTCCACATGATTTACTCCCCACGCTTGGAAGATAAACTTAACGCTGCATTTTGTTCTTCATGGGAAAGCAGTATTAAAGTGATTGGAGCAGAGCGAGTCAGTTTAGCGTTTAAAACATGGGCAACAGGTTACAGTCAAAAGATCATCTTCACCTACATCACATTATGTAAATATGGCACAGATAGTAAAAATTGTCCTTATTAAAATTTCCTCATACTTACAGACATAAATGACAAAATGCTCACCTATGAGGGCCAGAGGTGGCAGCTTGCCAGCATATTTTCCTTTGTCTAAGACTCTTTCCCATTTGTAGCTGATTGGGTCAGAACCATCTGTGGACTTGCAGCTAAGTCTGACATCACTTCCTTCCAGCAGACGACCCTCCATCCAACAGCGTGGTTTGGACGGCTTTACTACATTGCAAAAGAGAAAACACACAATGGTAAGGTAAACACTACATGATGGTATGAGTTTTTTGTATCAGTGTATAGGTATTTTAGCTGGAAATTCAATAACTGAATAACCACACAGTAATGCATATATTTGGATAATCCTGTGAACTGTATATCACAATATAGGTATGGTAGCTGGAAATTCAACAAAGAATTGGCTTAAATATTAAACAGCCATGTAGGAATGCATATTTTTTAGATAATTCTGTGAATTTTATATCACAATATAGTCGATTTAGCTGGAAATTCAACAAAAAATTGTCTTAAATATTAAACATCCACATGGTAATGCATATTTTTGGATAATCCTGTAAATTTTAGCATTTTAGCTGGAAATTCAACAAAGAATTATATATTAAATAGCTACATGGTAATGCATATTTTTGGATAGTTTTTTGTATCACGATATGGGCATTTTAGCTGGAAATTCAACAAATAATTGGCTTATATAGCCTATTAAATAGCCACATGGTAATGCATATTTTTGGATAATTTAGTGAATTTTGTATCACAATATGGGCATTTTAGCTGGAAATTCAACAAAGAATTGTCTTACATATTAAATATCCATATAGTAATGCATATTTTTTGATAATCCTGTGAAGTTTACATCTTAATACAGACATTTTAACTGGAAATCCAACAAAGAATTGGCTAATGTATTAAATAACCAGGTAGTAATGCTTTGTTAACAAATTATGTATAAGTGCAAAAAAAAAAAAAAATCATATTATGAAACACGAGTTAAAAGACTAAAAACACTGAGACTAATATTACAAAATGTACAGTGGTGGCCAAAATTATTAGAACACTAGTATTTTCACTCGCTGCAAAAATCTCACTGGATTATTACAATTAATGGCTAAATGAATGTTTGGAAAGGTAAACTGATATTTCCTACTGACACACTGACAGACTTAAAACCATGTTTTAATAATTTAAAATAATTTTGTATATTTTAAATTAATACTAAATTATAATGGAACAAGGATTTAAAGTATGCAAAACCAGGTCTGTACACTCACACATGCACTTTTACCCTTTTGCATCGTTCTCCATTTAGATCTATTTTTCCTCCCATCATGAACCTCTTAAAAAGCCGTGTGATGGCAGCAAGCTCTATAACATGAATCTGTAAAACAACCCGCAACCCGTTCACCATTCGGTCCTCGACCCCCCGCTCCTGCCCACCCCGGCCATAAGCATCTGCTCCTGCTGCCTCTATCTGCTGAGCCAGGACAATTTTGCCTTGGCACTCGCAGGGGGGGGGATGCAATTACAGCCGCTGAGTGGGATGCAGGTCCCCTCCATCTCCCAACTCTGTCAGGATCACTTACGGCGCACAGAGGAAGCTGCAGTTGCGTTCTCTGCCAAGCCATTATCTTTGTGTTGAACAAGACAAATGCTAATGTTTGCCCCTCGTGTCGTTTGAAAGCCACGGACCATTTATACAAATGCATGCGTAAATTTGTGGTGCTCTTAAATGTCTTTATGCAGCTGGCGAAGCGGTTAAGATGGAATGAGGGAATATAGAAAGAAACAATGGGGTGAAAACAGACATATAATGTTTCTATGCAGGACACATATTCACAATAATACATGTTGAATGAGTAACTAAGACTGATTTATGTGTTTTGGAAGTTCGACTATAGTGTGTCTTGTAAATTATGTACATTTCTACATGTGATGACTGCTTTTTCCCATGCTATCATGCGTAATGTGTCATTTTTATTGTCACGCAGTCGCTGAATGTCATTTCACACCAAGATCAGGGCACAACTGGCACACTACGCCCAGGGACAACATCCTGGTGCTATTTTTGGACCCCTTACTCTGTGACATAAGCATCTGTCATGTCTTTATCGTTTCCTAGGCCTACAAGAGGAGTTAATTAAAGCCAAGCTGCGGGGCCAAAGACTCACGGAGTACGATGAGTTTGACTGTGTTCCAGTAGTACTTCCCGCCGTTCTTGACCTTGCAGATGTATTCTCCGGAGTCGGTGAGTGAGAGGTCGCTGATCAAGAGCGAAGCGTCGCCTTTTAGATAGTCTCCCGCCAGGGACAGCCGCCCAGCTTCGCTCTCGTTGGGGTTGTAGATCCGACCGGCAAAGTATGTGATCACCTGGTGAAAGAGAAAACATACAGCGTGTTAATAAATACTGCTTTGATTAGGCTTGTGAAACTCTTTGTCCAGTGAGGGTTGAGTCACAGCCTGCAGTAGGAGTCTGCTAAACTCTGATGTCACTGTGAATCAGGCCCTTCTTCACTTGGTTATATTTGTCTTTCGGTGTCCCTGATACTCAACTTCATTCTGTAAAGCAACGCTAAAGCTATTTTCCTAACAAGAAACTGCCCTTTTCACTGACAAAAGTTATTTTTTCCCCATTATCTAACAAAACACCATTATCTATAAAAACACGAATAATTAGGCAACTTTGATTATTATTTCAGAATTTTAACTTATCAGTCTTAAAATTAATATCTATTTTTTTTTTCATATTATAAGAATTTCTAAATTCCAAAAATAGTATAGGATTTTAATATCGCCATAACATGAAAATAATTATTTATCATTTAGTACCCCGAATATTACTATTGATGCATCTGTATCAAAATGTTTTGTAATCATTTTGACTGGCATGATCTTAAAATGACGTAACAAAATCTCCCAAAAAAAAAAGTGTTAAAATAATTTTGTTTTTTTCAAAAATTAAAAATGACAGAAATTCAATTAATAAAACAAGAAAAATATTTTGCTTCTAGATCATTCGATTATAAAGTTAAATAGAACTTTAGAAAAATAGAAATAGAAATAGAAAAATACTTTTATCCAAAAAAAAGTGTTAAAATAATTTTGTTTTTTCAAAAATTAAAAATGACAGAAATTCAATTAATAAAACAAGAAAAATATTTTGCTTCTAGATCATTCGATTATAAAGTTAAATAGAACTTTAGAAAAATAGAAATAGAAATAGAAAAATACTTTTATTAAGCAAGGATGCGTTATACTGTTCAAAAGTGACAGTAAATACATTTATAATGATACAAAAGATTTATCTTTCAATTCATCAAAGAATACTGAAAAACAAAATGTATCATGGTTTAAAAATATTACACAGCACAACTGTTTTCAGCATTCATAATAAGAAGAGTTCATATTAGAAAAATCAGCATATTAGAATGATTTCTGAAGGATCGTGTGATCATGTAAAGACCTGAGTAGTGATGCTGAAAATTCAGCATTTCATTGCAAGATTAAAATACATTTGAAAATATATTTAAAAAATGCGATGGCAGTCCAGAATAATATAATAAAAATATTAAACAGCTATTTTAAATTGTAATAATATTTCACAATATTACTGTTTTTGATCAAGTAAATGCAGACTTAGTGAGCATAAGATGCTTCTTTCAAAAATATAAAATTTGAAAAACCACAACCTTTTGAACTGTTGTGCATAAATAAACTAAAACTATGCACCTTAAAGTTTGAAGTGCTGGTGGCGCTAAAGGGTTTGAGAGACAGGCCCCAAAATGATCATCTAAGCACATCAAAAACTCACCCCTAAAAACTAGCTCTCTCTCATTTAAAAGCTACATGCCATTTAGAAAAATAGCTCTGAAATGATTCATAACTGGCAGGAAGTTCAATCGGCAAAAGGTTTGACCCCTTCTTGTTGGATATATTGTGTCAGGAAGGACCTCAGGGAGCAGCTTGAGCCGTGGCCAGATTAAAATGTAAAACTTGTCCTCTGGCCAATTCCACATCATTCGGTCATAAAAGTAATTGTTAGGGGGGATACGAGGCAAAGCAGTGACATATTAAAAGCGAGCAGTTTTTACGGTGCTGATTGCAGCACCAGTTGATGGTGCAGTTTTCAGAAAGACAAGCAGCAAAAAAGTACTGCACTGCAGATCAGGGACTGTGGCGAACAGCGAAGGCCAGCATCAGCAGCACAATGTCGCAGTGGCTGGAGATCAGACACACACGCGCGCTCACGCTCACCACTTTCTGCCGTGAGCTGGATTTATGCAGCATCCATTCGATGTCCAGCAGGGAGATGTCGGCTTGCCACAGCTGATGGTGGCACGGCAGCGTGGCGTTGTCTCCGACCACCCTCTTCATCTCCGTCTGGCCATTTGCCTGAAGCACACTCAGCAATACTGTGGAGAGAGAGACAAAGAGAGAGGAGGAAGCGTTAAGGCCCGATGCCAGGGAGTAGTTAGGACTGAAGGGCTTTAGTTGGCTTTACTGCAGGTTGCAGAGGTAGATTGGGGGTTTTAGAGAGGGGCGTCAGGGATTTCATGCGACTGATCCACTGCGCTCTCATCCAGATCAGAGAGGAGATGATTCAGAGGCCAGAGGCTCCATCAAGACAATCATTGTTAGATTCTCCAATAAATTCCTGGAATTGGGCAACGGTTTAACGGCTAAGCGGCCACTTGGAAATCAGCTCGATAACACAAGGGAGGGAATGGACTATTAGTGATTGCTGGAGACGAAGAAGGCCGTGCTTCTGAATTTATTCAGGTTTACGCCTGAATCTGTGGGCGTAAGGAATCTGTGCTAATCTGTGTTACAACCCCAATTTCCCCCCATTCCGAACCATCACAGCCTCCCAGCGTTTCCCATCACGACACATTTTCCACTCATCAAGCGATAAAACGCGGAGGGTGGACGTCCTGCCGCGCCGCTACTGTACTTTAACACCCTTTGCGTTTGAACTTCTCTACATTAACACAGGGAGGCAGCTAAATGAAGGCCAAGCTAATTAATTCCCAGCATGCATTCTGACTGCAGAAATAATGCCAACACAGGCAGATGACAAGCAGACAACTCTACACCTCAGCCATGCAACAGCCTTCTGCTTGAATAATTCTGTTAATGTGAGGCAAATGATCAAATATCTTTGCTTTGGGCAACGATCAGAAGTGCCCTGCATTCTGTTATATAAAAATAGTACGTTAACATATTGCAGAGCGTGAATGTTTCAAATACAATTATTTCACATTAATTCACTTCGGGGAAAATGTCTTCACTTTTGGCAGTCTAAACAAATAATAGTCAAGGAGACGGTTCGTATCGCTTCGGGTTCATTTGTCACACTAGAAATAGAAGGCTAAACACTGCGGTGTTCTATGCAGTGCATTCTAATTGTATATTGAACATTTTTAGCAAATCTAGTAGAAATCTGGTCAACTGTACAGTATATTGAAAATCTACATATACATATTTGCACATATAAAATATACATATTTGCATACCGCATACTACATTCTTTATTTAAATAAAAGAAAGAAGAAAAAAGATGATGGTATGACATTTCAAAAACATTCAGTGTGCCAAATATTTAGAAAATCATACCAATAATCATAGACGTTGGGCTGGAAAAAAAAACCAAAAAAAAAACAAATTTACTATGACAGTCTGTACTCACTCAATGGTGTGGATTAAGATAAATTATATATTTTCTATCTCATTTATTATCACTAAAATTTTAAGAAAAGATGGAAATCTAAAAATATAGAGCCCGGTCTCATTCGAACACACACTCATCACCTTAATTAAAATCACAATACCGTTAATTATCAGAATGGTGCATGTTGAACATTTCATTTTCTCCTCTTAATGTGGGATGACGTCATACCATGTGATATTTTAAGAACATCAAAGAGACTTTTCTGGCTGTTTATTCAGTAAAAGCATCTCGGTATTAAATGGGTTCAAATGCAGGCAAGTTCAAATGGGTTCTGATGGAAGCAGGTGAATTCTGCAGGCTACAGATTTAATATGGGACGTATTACGATGATCAGGTTATTCTTCAAAGGAAATGATAAGATCAGATAAATCCTCATCTGCATGGCCTCGTGGTGTCATGGAAATCCATCTTTGATGTGCAGTGAAATCATAGAGATCTGGCATTCACTGCCTCGAAGTTAAGATTAGGAGAATGATGTGTGATTTACAGAGGTTTTAAAATAAAGTGTAATAAAATGAAAAGCTAGCTCTCTGAAGAAAGTGTGCCAGTTCAGAACGACTCGTACTGTGTTCACAGAATACCTGGATGAACTGCTACATTTGTCTGAATGTGCATTATACAACATTGTACTATTTACTGTATCCCATAATGCAATGCACTCAACCTGACCAGCCATATGTGACAAGTGAACCAGGAGTAATCTGCCACAATTCTTAAGATCTTTTTCATTTGTTTGGACTGCTAAATTG